TGAGCTCCTTTGCCACCTTTACCAAGCACTTACGTGCCTGTGGAGTGAACTGCATCATGAATAAGGCACAGATATACATCCCCAGAGAAACCTCTTTTCCTTCCTAAGAGCCTCTAAGCCAGTGAGAAAGAAAAGGATCTTCTCCTACTTCACATATCCTCTCTACCATTCCCAGCAAATCAAAGAACAGCCTGATCCCTAAGAGTACTGTTGGTGCAGTCCCAATTCTTTTAGAACTTCCTCTACTTTAAATACAGAGTCCAACAGCAAAGGTTGCTAGAATTCACTTAGCTTTCCTCTGCCCTGTTCCAAAAATTAGCCATCCCTTCCTTATTGCTCTATTTTAAAGAACTAGTCTATTCAACCCAGATTTCTGCATCCCTTCCCCTTACTCTATCAATTAGGTAGCTAGTTCTCTTCATCTCAGAATCAGAATGCAAAGAAATCTGCATACTCTTCCTTCAAATCTGGTAAGAGAATCAGACTTTTTTTTCCAGGACAAGGTTTCTCTATGTAGCCCTGACCATCCGGTACTCATTCTGGAGATCAGGCTGGCCTCAAACTCAAGAGATTTCCTTGCCTCTGTGACCTGAGTGCTGGAATTAAAGGGGTGTGCCACCATTCAAGAAACTCAGACTTTTAAAAGTCAGTTTAGAAGCTGGGTGTGGTGGCACACATCTCTAATCACAGCACTCTCAAGGCAGAGGCATGTGCATCTCTGTGAGTTCAAGGCCAGCCTGGTCTACAAAGTGAGTCCAGGCCAGCCAAGGCTACATACAGAAACCCTGTCTGGTGGCGGGGGGGGGGGGGGGGGGGGGGGGCGGCGCAGGCACTTTAGAGTGACTTTCCCTTGGTAAGTCCATACCCACGAGAGTATATCTTATTTTTGTCCCTGAGGGCCTCTCTTTTCATTAATACCTGCTTTTAAGTGCATGTGAAAATCCCTTTTAACAAAGTCAGTTTTAATATGCCTCTGTGCCAAAACCTGTGGTTCCCATCTCCCAGATTGACCTCAAGACAATTTCCTCAGGTACAAAAATATACCTGCCACCAATATCCTAATAAACTACTCCAAGATGCCTATGTCAATCCTCAAGTGTACTTCAGATTATATTAACTTGATTTACCAAGCCCCCTATTGCTCACTCAGTCGTTCTTGCTACTTCTGCTTCTCTGTCAAATTTTTACAGGCTCCTTCTCAACCCTTCACTTCCTTTTGGATCCTCTGGGTGATTCTTGGAATAGGATTATGCCCTTTAATCCCCAATTGGATCATGAAAGTTTCTTTCCTATAAACTGTCATCTTCAGTACCACTAAGTGATATCACATTCAATTTGAGTATCCTAAAAGGCTACCAAAACATCCTTAACTATACGCCACCTACAGTCTCCTCAATAAGAAAGGACCCTCAATACCATCATTCAAAGACAGTACATACTAAACAGAACAGCATTAGATAGCCACTAAAAATATAACTCCCTTTCATTATTAGAATTTTATTATGAACCTAATCAACTCCCAACTCCAAAATCATGCCCGTTTCTTTCTCTATGAAATGTTTCTACAGTGTGATTCTGAGAACTAGCCTTCTAAGTTGGAAGAAACATGGGACTAACACTTGGAGGCTTCAAGTGTACCCCAGAAGTCTGACCAACGTTATCTGCAATTGTACTTAACCCCTGTGTCATGGGAACGACCTCCAAATCGCCTTGAGAGTATTCATCTGTGGCTTGCTTTACAGGCCCGCTTTACTCATGCAAAGAGCCCCCAAAACGCTGAGCTAGAAGAATGCTCACCAAGTAAAGCCTGTCCTTGCTGTCTACTCTAGAAAAACAGCAAGAATGAGAAAGTATCACCACATCGACAGTTTGATCAGGCAACCTTGAAAATTTCAAAACAATGAAACAAAAACATAGTGCTTCTAATAGGAAGGATAGGAGAGGCTTGAGTGGAACAGAAAGGCACCCCCACAGGCCTGTGGTGTTGGGCCTCCTGGGTTTGCAGCGCGTGTTTCCCTCCAGTCTTTCCCCTCGACCACATTTTTCAATACAACAGTCTTCTGCACCCCCATAACACGAAAACCCTAGCCTTGGTGCAGCCGGCTCCTCCCAGCCTTGCCCGGACGTCCCTCTGGTCCAGCCTTCCCCTCCTCGGGACCCCGAGGAGGAGGGGCCCCTCCACCGCCCAGTTCACCTTTCTATCCCTTTTCTGGCTTCTGGGTGCCCCCGCAGGGATCCAACCCGAAGCGAACCTCCCAGAGCCAAGCCCACGAGGCCCGTCGCGGGACCCCCGCCCCCCTTCCTTCTCCCCGCACCTCGTCCTCCCCGCACCGGGCCCCCGAGGCTCCTCGTCGTCGTCGTCGTCGTCCTAGCTCGTACCGCCCCCCGTCAGGGACTCCACCCCCAGCCTGCCCCCGCCCGCAGAATGGCCCCCTCCCCACCGCGCGCCCTCTGCCCCGGCACGGGACTCCCTTCGGCTTCGGTTCCCCGCCCAGAAGCGGCAGCGGTGGTGGCGGAGGCAGCGGCAGCAACGGCGGCAACGGCCCCAGCAGGAGCAGCAGCAGCGGCGGCGGCAGCAGCGGCAGCAGGGGCAGCAGCGCCGCCCCGGCCCCGCCCCACCGCCCGCCGGAGCTTCACGCCCCGCCCGCCCTGCCGCCGGACTACTCCCCCTCCCCGAAGACCACTACCAAGCACCCCCATTCCCTGGCAACGATCTGCTCGAATCCAGCTCCACTGGGCCTGCTGTCCATTCCTCAAGCCCCTTAGGCAGCAGGGTGGGGGAACCCTGGGGTTCGTGGCCATCCCTCGCCCTCCTTCTCCAAGGGCCAGGGGATTGCCCCTTATCCCGAAATCCGGCCCCATAACCAGAGCCTCCTTCCTTTTCAGCCTTCTGTTTTCCTTGCAGACCCCTATCCTCCAGGCCTGGCGCGAAGCAGGTTGAGGGCTTGCAAGCCAGGTCTCCCACCAGGCTTGCCGGGGCCAGTAAGAATTGCCCCCATCCTATCCTCCTTCAATTTGAGTACCCTCCCCGCCCCGCCTGGCTCGGTAGCCCCCGCCCCTAGAGCGAGGGCAGCGAAGCCTGGGCGCTCCGAAGTCATCCCCCGCCTTTTTTCCAGGGACTTGGATAATTGCCCCTGCCCCCATCACAGCACTCCCACTCCCGAACCCAGGCCCCGCCGCCACCTAGGGGTACCCCTTACCCTATGGTTCCTGTACCCCAGAACAGGGGAGAAAGCAACCCTGAAAGAGCACCCGCCGCACCTCCACCTCTAGGTTGGAGGGCATTTTCTGCTGGTCTCTTTAAGACTTCATTACGGACCCCCACCCCTCCACCCCACCCCAAAAAACAAGCCCTTTCTCGCCCTGCCCTGTTGGCCAGGTTCCCTTTAGATCCTTGGATCTCTGGATCAGGGTTTGGGGCCAGGTAGTTCCAAGACCGTAACCTCCACCTCCCTTTCTGTGGAGTGGGGTAATTCCTATGGTTAACACCCCCCAGGATCTACCGACCCCTGTTTCCATGGAGACCCCCGCCTAGCCGAGGGAAAGACTCTCTTGGATCATGGTGAACAAGTCTCACCTGGCTAAAAGAGAAGGAGGTCGAGGAGGAGATAGGGCAGGGCAGGGATGGGGTACTAAGGTTGGAAGTGGAGGGGAGCTGTCCCGAAGGGAGGGGCGAGGACAGAGGGAGCTCCGGGGAGCTCTACGTCCGGGGACACAGAGAGGACGGCAAGCTGAGAAGCTGAGGGTAGAGGAGTGAACAGGGTTGGGGAAAGGCTTAGGATAGAAAGAAGCGGGTGGGAGAATACGAAAAAGCTGGGGAGTCAAAAGGGGTGGAGGGTTGGGGGAGAGAGAAAAAAGACGCACCTGTTCCCGGGTCGGCTCCGCAGGGAGGCTCAGGCCGCCACCCGAGCTCCCTCTCACCCTCTTTGAACCACCACCCGCCTAACACTGCCGGGATCCAATGCCCCCTCCGCCCCTTAACGCCACCGACCTCCTTCTCCTCTCTTGGCGGCGGCGGTCGGACTCTAGGAACTGAGAGGAAGAAGGGAGGGCTCAGCAAAGCTGAGGAGAGCCACACACTGGCAGAGCCTTGGCGAGCGAGAGTGAGGGGGAGAGCGGTGTGTGTGTGTGTGTCTGTGTGTGTGCGTGTGTGTCTATGTGTGAGCAAAGCCTGGTGGAGAGGGTGCCGGTTGCAGGGCTCGACGGGTAGTCGAGTTCGGCCTTGTTTGCAGGCGGTGCCAGCCAGCGCATCTAGAGACTACAACTCCCAGAATGCTGCTTAGGCGAGGTGGGGTGGGGAGGAGGAGGCGAAGGGAGGGAGCAAGTATGAGAAGGAGGGACTAAAGCTGGGAGCAAGCGGCAGCGAAGGGGCAGAGCCAAGCAGCCCCGGTGACACTGGGAGGGGAGGGGAGAGGAGGAGGAGGGGATCGCTGAGAGAACCGAGCGGATTCCGGAGAGCAAGGCAGTGGTAGCTGTAGCAAGCTGAGCAAAATGACTCCCAAGGAAGGTGGAGGCACTCAATCCGTGGGGCTCCAAGAGCTCCACGCCCGCCACCTCGACGACCCTCAAGAGGGAGGTTGAGGAAGGGGGATGAGCAGGGCGCTGAGGCCAGAGGGTTGGTTGTCTCCCTTCCAACATTCACCTTATGCCCCGACCAGACTTTCTCAGGCCACTAGTGCCAGAACCAGTGTACAAACCACTCTTTGAGCCATCCTCAGATCTCCCCTGCCCCAGGACCACAGAGCACACGTATTCAGTACCCTTTTCCCAGGAGCCTGAGGGAGGCTCCCCTTGCAAACAGGGTGTGACTCTTTCATTCTTCCCGCACCCCCCACCCCACGTCTTCGCCACCCTCCATCTCCTTTCCCGGAACCCTCCCCGAAGCTGGGGCTCGCCTTTCTCTCCCCACCAGGGAAGAGTCTCTCTGGGGGCGACTACTCACCCCTACTCTTATACTGGGCCCCAACCCACAAACATCCCCTTAGCGTTGTCCCCCTCACCAAAGTGACAGTGGGGGCGACCAGAGTTGGGCTGTTGTCTACTTTTCCTCTGACACTAGCTGTCCTTCGCCACGCAGACCCTACAGAAAGACAGAAAAGCACATTAATGATCCCGTATCCCACCCTCCACAGAAATGGTTCATAGTTCATAGTAAAGTGGTTGGTAGTAGAAGTGATCTGAGAGTAAATTCCAGTCTTCAAACCCCATTCTAGTCATGAAAATCAAGGGAACCGTCCCTTTCCTTAAAAGCCATCAAAGAGCTTGGAGGGAAGGCTTAAATTATCTAAGCCCCAATGTCCACACGACGCCAAGCAATGTTACCTCGCAGAAATACAAACTAGGCTTCCCAAAAGGAAGGGAAAAAGCAGCCCCCGACATCGTTTAACCCCCAAAAGCATAAACCTAGGAGATTCGGATGGCCAAGGATGAGAGGGAGATGGAAAAGGTGCTGGAAGAGTGAAAGGCTGGTGGTGGGGAGGGTCCGCAGCCACCAAAGACCAGAATCCAGATGTTAAGAGGTGGGTGGGGGGTGAGGCATATTGCAGAAGGCGTCTTCCCGCAGTTTTCGGGAATCGCCACGGAACACCGTCTAACACTAGGAGTTGCTTACCAGTCAATCCCCTAACCCCATTTGTGCGCATGAGGCGGCTGGAGCCCAGACGAGAAGCCCCGCCACAACTCCGCGGAAGCTGGCCTTCCCCGCCGCCGCGCTGCCTCGGGCCTCCCTCCCTCCGCTCTTGGCCGCGCAGACCTACCTTCGCCCCCAACCGGGGCCAGACCCCGTTCGCAACTCCACGCCCCTACTCCACCCCCTGTTCTCCCTCCCCTCGCCCTCTCCTCGCCCGTCCAGCCCAGCCCCTAGCGCCGCCCCGCCCTAGCGCTCGGTCCAGAGCCCAGCAAGTGCCCCGAACTCGCCCCCCGCCCCCACGCCCAGGCCAGTCGGGCCAGGCCTGGTTTCCCCCCTCTCGCTGAGCCCCGCCCCCCGAATCCACGTCCTACTTCGCCACCCAACTCGGCCCGCTTCGGGTTCGGCCTGCGCCCATGCCACTGGAGTCCGTGGTTCGGTCCGGTGGACGGTCACCCACCCCGCCCTTGCCTGGGTGCCGGCCTGCCTGCCCTTGCTAGCCCGCCCGAGCGCGCCGTCCGGATCTCGGTCTGAGTCGGGGTGTCGGCCTCGGTCCTGGCAGTGTTTGCAGCCTCTCCACGAGGGCTCGGTTCACACAAGATCCGAACCCGGGCAGGGTGGGGGCTGCGGAAAGCAAGTTTCTTTTATCCTCCCCCCCACCCCCGCCGCAGGGCCACGCCGTTCCCGCCCCCGTCACAGCGCCCCCTTCACCTGGGCAGAGCCCCCCTGGCTGCTGTCGCAACTTTGCTCTTCTCCACACCGCCTGGGAAGCGGGCGAAGCAGGAGTAGAGGGAGGTGGCGAGGACGGGGGCGGTGCGGGGGGGGTGCTGGGATCAGGCCGCTGGGCTCCGGGAGGACACGTGGGGGAGGAGGGGAAGGAGGAGGAAGAAGGGGGGCGGGCCTGCAGCTCTCGGGGCTCCCCCTTACCAGCCCCGGGGAAGCCGGAACCTCGCCGGGCAGCCGCAGACTCGCACTGGCCATGGGGGAAGAACTGAGCCACCTTCCCCAGCCAGCCCTCCGCTCCAGGAAGGGGAGGGTGCCTTAACGCCAGTTCGGGGTTGGAGAGCTATCGTTTTCACTCCTGTTTTATATGTAACAAGCTCTGCTCGTTTTTTTGACTCGGTCTATGTAGGAGGGCGGGGGTCTTGCCTGAGGGGAACGCCCCCGCCAGACACTCCGCCCTTCCTCCAGGCCCCCGCTTCCCCACCCTTGGCGACCTCCGCTCGTGTTTCTGGCGCTCAAGAACTGAGGCCGCGGTCAGGCGCAGCCCCAGCCCGGGTGCCGAAGTGGGACAGGTGCTAGGCAAAGAAAAATGCCGGGTCTCGTCCCCTCGTCTCGCGACTCCGGCTTGGCCCATTCTTCGTGGCAACCTCCCAGGCTGCAAAAACCTCGAGTTGTCCTCAGTGGACTTCCCTTCCTTGGGTGGAGGTATCTGGATTGGCGGGGGACACGAGGAAGGAGTAGAGCGATGAAAGGTCTATAAAGAGGGAAGCTTGCAAGACTTGCAGAGAAAAACCTGCCTAGAAGAGGACCTAGGGCTTGGTTTCTGCCTCCTTTCCCCCTGGGCTCTGGAGACACCAATCTGAACCCCCCCCCCCCGACCCTTCCCCTTTACCCTAACGACCGCCTGCCAGGCCAAGGGAATAAATCCTTCCTGTGTTTATATCTAAGGCCATCCCCGGGACTTGAAGAGCTTAGAAGCTTGTCCACGTTCGAACTCTGATGACTTCATATTAACTCCAAGGAGGGAGGCTTTGTGGAGATGAAGCTGTTGGCTGACTTGCTTTCAGTCTTAGGTTATTTCTTAACAGCTCCAACCCTGATGTGATGGAGAGGGCTTCAAAGGTATTGTCTCAACTCAGAGGGTATCAGGGGGCGATGCCCAGCAGTTTCTAGAGGATTCTAAACAGAATGTAAAATAAACAATAGGAATTTGGAAACATAATCTTTATGTCCAGACATATTGATATTATTTAATATATTAAGGAAGCTATCTAAGGAAGCTAGAGAGCGTCACTTGAACTAAAAGAAAACCCTGCAGGATTAATGTCTTTCTCTTCTCCCTACCCCCACCTCTACTCCAACCTCTCTAGGCCCAGAGGCTCCATCTCTAAGCTAGGGGTGTTTTTTTCTCTCCTTTGTAAAGACTTCAGGGATGGCAGTTGAGCTGCTTCCCTTACCTGGGCTGAGGGATGTGTATGAATATAATAACAGCTAGGGCTATGATCGTTCTGCTGTCAGAGATCTGGTGCTGTCCTCAGTACCCTCAACACCAATTTCAAGCAATGTGGACATTGTAGGGCCATCCTATTTTGCTTTGGGAATCTCTTCACTAGTTGCTTTACTTGGCCACACCTACCCATCAATGCACATATACACACCTATTTAAAAAAAAAGATCTTGTACAAAGCGAAAATGAAGATTCAGAAATATATTTAAGTTAACATGTGAACTCAATATGCATTATTTAACAGGGAAATTACCTCCTTGTGGCTTGATATTGCAGACCCTGCTTTAAGTTGACTCTCTTCGCTGATTTTAATTATTTTGGTAATTACTAAATCACCACTAATCTTAAGGCCTTAGGACCCTAGGGTTACTCTCCTCCCCATTTTTGAGGCTGAAATAGATTTTGGACACATCAATTTGCCCTAGTCTGTTTTTTACCATTTGGCTGCATCATTTATCTGGCAAAATGAAGGTTGGGGGAGGATGGTTGCTTCCTGGGTGGAACTAAAGCTCTTTTTGGAGCCCTTTCCTGTTGGGGTACAGACTTCCTGCCCTACAGGAGATAATGGGAAACCAAGGATCAGTGTGGGGAGAGCAGAGGGAAACCTTTAAAGCATGAAGATAACAATGATTATTTTATTTGAGGCTAGCACCATCACATAACCATAACAAGACTGGCTTACCTTTGTATAGCATCAGAGTGTTTAAATGCCCTTTCATTTATGTTACTCTATTTGTTTCTCACTTCAACTCTTGGTTTTGTTATTGAGGAAACTGAGCCTCTTAAGCATCTATGAGTGGCTTGTTCAAGGTCACACAGAGGTTCTGAGCCAGGAATCCCAGTAGTCTCACCTCTACATCCAAAATTCTTTTCACTATTATACAACACTTTTGTTAAATGCCCAAACAGCCTTTTCCAGGAAGATTGTCTTTCTTAATTCTCCCATCCCTAACATCTACTGACCCAGACAGGACACTCAGGGAGGTAGGTACCTTGGTACAATAGAAAGAAGATTGTTTAGGAGTCTAACAACCAGAACCTAATCTTGTCTTGTTGATAACTAGCAGTGGTGCCTCAAGTAATTCCTAATATTTGGCCAAGGAGTAGTGCCACCCTGATGCCATGTTCCTCATTGTGTGTCCCTTTCCCCAACTCTAAAATACTAAAACCAATGTACATGCTGTATTACCCTCACAGGAACACCCTATGAGCACCTTAAACCACTGCACTCATGCAAGAGTTATTATCAGCAATGGCCCACCACAGGCTATGTAGGTGTAGCATAGAGAGATAGGAACAACACTGGACTGGGCCTTGCCTTCCTGATCCTTAGCAGACAAAGAAGGGCATTTGAGGGTCCCAGGGTAATTTAGGCTCCAAACTAACCTTGGACTAAACCCACAAGGATTAGTATGTCAATCCTCTGCTTTGTTCTGCAATCAAAAGCCTTGTCTCCGGTAAAACAGCATAGCCCTATGACAAAAAAAAAAAAAAAAAAAAAAAGACTCCTACTAATTGAGAAATTGAGATCTTCAAAATTATGCAGAATAAAGCAAATTGAGAGCTTCTGGGTGTCCGTTTCTGTTCAGCACCTCAGTTAATTGATGGTGAAGTCAGGTGTGGAAAGCAGCATCTCAGGATAGCAGAACAGTTCATTCTATGTGTCACCCTACTTGAAAGGGGATGGAGTAAGAGAGGTACCTGAGAAGCTTTGGTGGGTATTGATATATCACTGCATTTTCCAGTATTTCACTTTACATTCTCTCCACCCTCCTTTCTCTCCAAATTCTATGTTCTGTCCTTGTTTCACGTTCTCATCCAACATTCCATCCTGTCTTGTTATGTTCCAGAGGCAGGTGGGATTGGGGAGGGTTCCTTGCCCCTATTTGTCATTTGACAATCTCAGCAAATAACAAATAAGGAACCCAGGTGTAAGCAAGCTGAATGCTTGCAGATGTACTCCAGCAGCAGGTTAAGCACTGCAAGCTAAGTGCTAGCTCCCAGAGAACAAACAGACTGAGGAAGGCCAGGCCTCTGCCCTCTCAGCACACATAGTCTAAACAGGAGAGACAGCTTGTCTGGTGAAACTTAACACTGTAAACAACCAACAAACTTTCTAGATTTTGTTAGCTAAGTGGAGGAAATGAGGAAGAAGGCTAAAATCACCTCAGAGGCCCTGCCAGGGCAAACTACTCAATCCACTAACCACTCTCCATCTCCCCTAAAACTAGATTAAGTTGTTGTTTTGGTTTTGT